ACAAAACTAATTAAAAATAACGACTTATTCAAGTGAATTAACTGAAAAAACTGGCTGCACGGTTGGCGTACTGGGTGGGCGACTGGATATTGTGCAAAGTATCGTGGGTTCGATTCCCGCACGAACAACATTTTGTAGTTTATGTATGTGAATTTGTATGTCTGTTAAATCATCCACGACACAGGAGAAAATCATAGTAAAGGGCAAAAATCATTTGTTTAAAAAAAATGTTCGTAACCAGCTTGCGCGTTGTGGCGACGTCGTCCATTTTCAAAAAACTACGTAAGTATGTCTTACGATAATAAATATTAAAAAATCATACACTGTAACGCAGATTCATTTGTGTGTTATACACAAACACACACATAAGCTACACATACATTTAAACAATAGTAGTGTACCTAGGTATGTATGTGTGTGTAGCACACCCTGTATAATTACATTATATACAGGCGGATCCCACTTACCGTTCATTACGTAGAAGCTATGCTTACAATACTAATGGAAATAATGGAATATCTATTAATAGAGAGGACTGCTTCTTCTTCATTAGCTGTGCAAATAGATATTGTAAATGCGAAAGCAATTATGTTCGTTTGCACCTTTTTTATACTTCATTATAATAAAAAAATATGCGAGGATAGTTGTAAAAAACTGGCAGGAAAGAAACAGACCCGATAGGTTATACCTATTTATTAAAAACTAGCTACTTTAGCGCGGTTTCACCCGCTGCTCGGCTCCATTTAGTCGTAGCGTGATTTTATAGCACTCAGGAACATTGTAGCTATCTAACAGTGAAAAAATTTTGGAAATCTGACCAGCGGTTCCAAAGTTTACCCCCAACATACAACCTTACAAACTTATAAACTTACAAATTTTACCTCTTTATAATATTATTAAATATTAATGGTCATGCGACAAAATTAAATTTGTTTGTTAAACCACGTATGCTGACATATGCTGCACTTTTTTTATTATTGGACAGGTTGGTATACTAGCAGGCAATCCAGATGATGGTAAGCAATGGGTGCCCATAGGCACCAGCAACACCACAGGAGTTATCTACAAGTGCGTTGCGCGAGAAAAAAGGTTTGCGACGGCATTTGGAACGGCATGGGTCAGGGAAAGATTAGAACTCCGGTAATCTTACTCACACGGAACAATACAAGAGTGGTACCTTTATCAATATAAGTGCCGTTCTGACTTGAAACTCGTAGATCTATTCTCAATTAGTTCACACCTTTACCTAAGTCGCGGGAATTGAAGAATAAATATGTGAATAAACTGTGATCCATTACACGACTGAAAAGGATAACCAAACGACATAAAGTATCGGGTCTGCGGACGGCAACCTAGGGTAACTCGCCGCCCGACTAGAACCAGACCCGAGCGTAAGGCGCGTAGCGTTCCGCGCGCGCCTCAAAGAGCCAATAGACCGCCACAGACGAGGCCCTATAGGGCTTTTCAGCCAGGGTTGCGGGATAAGCGCAATGAGGCACTGCGGCCTCGACCTAGAGCAGGGAACGAAACATGGGGTTTTTAGTCAGTAAGAGTCTGAAACTCCCTCCCGCCCTACCCTAGGCGGGAAAAGATTCTTTTGATGATTTTCCCCTTACAAAAAGAAAAGGTACAGCGGTGACAAAATATGTATTTGACTGTGTTCAGTACACGGCTTAAAGGAAAACACGCCGACATGAAATATGTATGTAAATTGTACCATACTGGAAAACTGGAGCACGTTTATTTTGGAAACAAACTAAATATAGAATGACATTGAGATTCTTTGTGTATTTTACTTCCTGAGTAACGGTATTCGAGATTTATAGTATTTGCTACTTTACGGTTACTGTTTTACAGTTTGTTTTCAGTAATAAGTAGTTAATGTAATATCATACGTTATACATATTCTGGTCTTCATAAAACAATTCTTGATTAGCTAGAATTTTCTTCGTCGTAGTGTGTGCATACACATAAAATCGTCATAATGACCCTTCGGTACGAATGGGTTGGCTCGTCCGGAATGATACCACGGCCACAAAAAAGACCAACGTGAAACAACCACAGCGTTGTATTTCGCCGTGTGAGATTACCGGAGGGCCAATCCCTCCCCAATCCCAAAATTTCCAAATCCCTAAACCCCAAAAAGTCGTGACGCAATCGTAACTCCTCCGTTGTTGCGGATGTGTGGGCGGCGCTGATTGCTCACTGTTACTGTGCTGGTAATCCTGTTGAGCAACAGGATTTTTTGGTGAAGGAAAAAATATCTGGGTCCGAAACAATAATTTCTAAATTACGAGTACCTACACAAATTATTGTTCCTGAATAATAACTATCGTGAGACATACTACATGTATGGAAAATAACTACTTACTCACGTGAATAGGAGTCCCGTGTGGACTTGAAACTAGTAGAGCTATTCTCGGTAATTTACGAGAATATATTGTTATTTTCAATAAACAAATTTTTTCGTGCGGAAATCGCAGTCGAGGGTCGCTACGCAGACTTAGAGAATCAATAGGAAACCTCATATGGGTGCAATCTTAATAATGAACCGGAACCCTATCCTGGAGCAGGAAAAGGAACGGGCGGGTTTTAGTCAGTAAGAGTCTGACACTCCCTCTAATCTCATCCAAGGTTTAGTTGACAAGTTGTTTCATAATTTTCCCCTTTCAAAAAGGAAGATTCGAGAGCCCATTGTGAGTTTACTTTACGGTAATGCGGTTGACAGGTTTATGATGTTCGTCGTTTTGATTGGACAGCTCCTGGTTAAACAACCAATCAGAGGGTTAGCCGCGGGCCTAACGTTTCTTTTGCGTTAACGTTAAGAAAATTCACACTAGGTGCTTTGGTTGCCTAATCAGGGAAGAGATAAGCCAAGAAATCTAAAAACATTGTGTGGCTAAGCCTTCTAAGGTCTTTTCAAAATGTCTGGATAGTCTCTAAAGACCAGGTAAATTTGAATTTACAACGAAATTCGTAAGAACTATGTTCCACAAACTTTATCAGTAATGTCTTATCTGTGCTTATTACTAACATATTCTAGTAAAACAGGCAGCGTTGTTTTGCCATATGAGTGAGGTTACCGGAGGCCCAATCCTTTTCGAAACCCTATCCCTCCTCAAACCTTAAATCTCAGAAACCCTAATCCAAAATTCTGGCCACGCTTTTGTTTTCTCTGGTGTTCTGTCCATTAGCGATGGCGTTTGCTTACCATCAGGTTATCCCTGAGCTCGAGCTTGGCGACCTATCACACGAAGCTGAAACTGGGAAGCGACGTACAAAAAAATAAACTCCAAAAGTTTAATTTTAAAATAATCTGATTTTATTTCATGTAACTCCATTATCTATGTCCAAGCATTATTGGCGTAACATATATTAAGTAATAACTACACAACAAAATATTTATTTCCTTTACTCTATCAGCCGAATACAAAAAACTTTGGTTACTAGCTTATTTAGAAAATTTACAATATTTTATATTGGTGTTCTACCTTGAGTATTTATTATTCTAGTTCTTGTCTGTATAACTAATGAATTTACATAATTACGAAAGCTGAAACGTTTTAAATAATCGCTATAAGGAATACAAGAATCCATTTTCAATCCTTCTAATATTTACAGTGCATATAGAAACGAAATTGATTCGAAAATACAAATTACGTACAGACAAAACTTTCAGACTAATAGGTACACATTTGCCAACGATTTATGAAAAAATGAACCTTATATGAAAAGGTATCGAACAAGTAAATGAAAGCAAAGCTTTTACTGAATTAAAGTCCAGATTTTATTGTATAGGACTAGACTGTCACGTTTGCAAGCATTGTTTATACTTAAATAGTAAATACAACGAAATTAAGCTAAGATACAACAACAAACTGATTATCACATAACAAACCAAATCATCTATGATGACTATTTACACAGCTTAAGGCACAAATTATAAATATTGGCTTAAAGCCGCTAAATGTTTACGATAGATGGCGCGAGCGGCGACAATGGGAGTGCAGAAATCATGATGCATCGTAAATTTGGCACTAGTTTTATGTTTTTCCATATTAATAACAGTTTTATCCAAGGTAAATGTAATAACAATAAGGAAGTTATACTCCAGAAAACATACTTTCTGTTAATTAAAGATTTTTAATGAAAAACATTCCAAATTATCAGAATGTCCTTAGATTTCTTACACTACTGTCTCAGCTCGCCCCAACCTTTCTAGGACTCATAATATATACATAATTGGCCCCAAAAAAATGCTGTTGATAAAAGTTTTTAAACTATAATCCTTACATCACACGCAATCGTTTACTACGATCTATTTTATTTTTATAGTTCTCATCCCTACATTCGATTTTTTTCTAGATGTTTTAGATCTATATGTTAATAGAATAGATTAGAACAAGAAAATGCCGTGTCTGATCAAAGACACTACTAGTACACACCACATTGGATTTTTTTTAGGTAATCTTAGTGCCTCCTCTGGCCATTTTGTTTTTTTTTTTGTAACTCAGTCCACACGTTTAAAATTAACTTTTAGTTTGGCGCTCTAATTTGTTAACTTCACGGTAATCGACGAATCAGTGTAATGTAAAACAAACTTACAACTTGCTAGCTGTCTGATTGGTTGTTTAAATTGAAGGAGGCCAATCAGAGTACCGAACGTCATAAATGTGTCACTGTTATACAGTTTGCAAATTTTCTTCAAACTATTTCATTATAAATTAAGATGTAAACAAAATATTTATCGTTCTTAAGACTGAAGGATTCCATTATGGAGGTCTAAATTGCTTCAACATTTATCTATTTAATTGGTGGATGATGTTTTCCAAAAATTAGGTACGTTTTTTAAACACTTCAATGTGATCTAGTAGTGTCGATGAACCAACCATAGATAATGCAATGAGGTTGAAACTACTCTATAAATTGTTCGACGACTACATTTTCGTTTAGTCGATGTGCGATGCCACAAATATATACAGATAAAAGGATATTTTTTTAATTTTTATATTTTTTTAATCTACAAAGTAAATAGTTATATGAATATATTATTTTTATCTCTAGCCTCGGACAGTCTTTCCGTATCATATTGCTTCACAATCACAACTCTCATTCAGTAGTTAATTTAATATAATTTTGATTATATTTAATAAAATACAATTATTTTGAAGTCTGACAACCACAACAAAGAATATGTCAATTTAAAAACATGGCGTCTATTATTCAAAATGGCGGTCAGACTGTTCAAATCGCAAGTTTATATCAAATAAGGTTTTTTGTAAGCAACAGAGATCATACCGAATAACGAATAAATCTAAGGCTTCAATATTTGTAGTTATCATACATTCATCTATATACACAAAATAGGGTCTTTCACACTATATATAGCACTATCCACCCACAATACACTATTATAGCTAGCGTTTTCACAAAAAATAACCCTTGGGAATGATTGGTCATTGTCATATTTAAATAACCGCAATCTCAACATGACAACTTCCCCAGAATAAGTGCAGAAGCGATCGAAAAAACATCGTTTTATATGTATAAAGGAGTACTTATTTATTTCAGTTCAGAAACGTAAATACTACTGTTTAGTGTGAATTTTTCGCATCTGGCAACTTATTTTGGTACAATAACCAATTTTGGGGTTGGCAGCACTACCCGTAGAGTTGTGCTCACGCTTTCTTCTTGCCTTTACTTCCATTATCTACGAATATTTCCTTGAAGTCTGTTAGTAGGATGTCTACGACATTGTTTTGTTGGATGCAGTCTACCGCTATGTTGTGAGCCTGCTCTGGCGGCGCCCAAAGGAGTGTAGGCCCAAAGACAATTGCTAGGTTCGCTGTGTGCATTCTGTTCTGTTCTTTGTATTCAGTTACTCTGTGAAAAGAAAAAAATGTATGGTTTTATTTCGGTCATTTTTGGAACGACGTAAACATATATAAATCCTTCATCTTTCCAAAGAAAAATGCCATTGGAAAAGACTACCCAAGAAATTTCATAGTTCTTCTTTTATAGGTCTTGGAACTAAGTATTAAAATATTTCAGTCAGTTTCAGTTTTCAAAAATGACATTGAGAAAGAGACAAAGACAATGAGTGAAAGAGACAGAGAAAAGAGAGGACAGTGCTCTGAGATAAATACTTATGAATCTTTTGACTTTGGAAGGACTTAAGATTTGGCGGTTATGAGTAGTTTCTACACAGTTTTATGAAGATTCTTTAACAATACTTTGAAAATATGAATGATACTTACTTTATCAAATGTTCTAATAAGAACTTCAGTGTGTCTCTATTGCAGGGTGGTAACGCTTTCACGATCTCTTGGAACTCCTTGATTCTTGCTTCTTTTGGTTTGATTGCTGTAATAAAAAAAAATAACATTAATACTTTTACGAGCTGTAGCTCGCAGTTCCATCCTCTTCGGCTTAGATTTTAGCCTATGTATCATTGAGAATGAAATCTATACTAATATTATAAAGACGTAAAATTTGTAAGTTTGTGTGTAATCTTTGGAACCGCTGGTCGGATTGCCAAAATTCTTTCACTAATGGATAGCTACAATATTCCTGAGTACTATAGGCTACAAAACATCACGCTACGAATAAATGGAGCTGAGCAGCGGGTAAAATAATATTATAGTATAATAATTATACGTACAACATGCAGCGAGGACCCTGTCGAACATGGAGCAAGGTATGAGTGGCTCCTTCAGCTCTCGGAAGAACAGCTTCAGAGAACCTGTGAGCACGTGGATGTCTGTGTTGTTCTGGATCACCGACATCTTGTTCTGGTCCACCTGGAGATAAGAAGTATGGTTTTCAAGACACGGCTTCATAGTAATAAGATGGTTAGCTTTTAGAACGTATAATTAAATTTAAGAACCCTAATTGGAACTATATTTATTTATTTTTTTCTTTGACCCAAAACAAATGGTTTCGGTTTTTTTATAAAATAAAAATTAAGCACACACTCAATGATTAATTTTAGGATTTTAATTAAGTTAATAAATATTTTACGTAAAAAATACTACATAAACATCTTGGGGTGACAAAAATGAGAGTCCTTAAAAACAGTCTGGTAGAAAACTTAAAAAATTATGAAGATTTTGATTTTAAGTTGCCTTACCTCTAATCGTATCTTCTGGACCTGACTCAAATTGCCACTGGCTCGATATAATCCGTCAGTGCACATATTGTCAGGTCTCTCTATCTCTTTCACACACGCCACAACGAATTCTGGCACTCGAGGGCTCGTAGCTGGACATACCTCCTCCAAATTCCGTCCGAATACTGGCTCATCTGTTAAAAAAAAAGTAAATCAAATTAAAGTACACCAATGCTGTTAATAGAATTTCCATCTTATCATTAAAGTTTAGAGTTTAAAATCTATTAAACATTAAGGTAAATTCATGTGCGTGATGTTTTTGATAAGATTAGAATCAATAGTGCAATTCGATCGAAACGTCAATTAAGGCCAAAATAAATAAATAAACTACAGAAACCTTTTAAAAGACATATAAAGATTTTTTAAAGTACAATAACATTAATGTAGAAAATATTCTTCAATAGGTACAACTTGCTAAAATGTAATACTATTTTTTTTTTCAAATAAAGAAAGAATTAAAAATCTACACGACACTACGTGTAAACTACTAAGTTTTAATTCAACTTATGCTAAAACCAACCACTACTACTAACTACAAGAAAAATTAAAAAACAAGAAAAAAACAAAAAAAAAAATACCGGGAAACAAATCACACCCCTGTTTCCTCTGAACAACATTCGTCCAGAAGAATTGCTCCAATTTATTTTTTAATGCGTGACACATTGTAACAATTACAGAAAACAAAAAAAACTTTTATGAAAACGAAAAAAAATACCGTTAAAAGTAATAACTAGTCACTAAGGAGGCTCAATGACATGATATAAAAAATAGAATAGTAAAAAAAAAATAAGAGACAAGAGAGCTCAAGCAAGCACAACTGTTCGCACTACCGGTGCTAAAGAAACTAAGTTTAGTAAAAAAAATATAAAAAAGCTTATTGACTACATTCAAATCCCCACAACCGCAATACTGACGTTTTTCGTCACAAACGAAACAACATTAGTCATGGTTTAAACCTACGTAATATGAATTAAATGCAAGAAATTACAGAAAAGACACAACAACAACATGAAATAATAATTATATATACGTCACAAAATTAGGTGTGCGTTTAATTATTACTAAGCAATGTTTAAGAGGAAATAGAATGTCGTAATACTATTTTATATACTTCATTTAGCGACGCGCCCTGGATTCGCAGAGGTGCAATTCTGATACTAAATTTCACCGCTATTTAATGGGTGTTATTACACATATGAACCTTCCTGTACAATCGTTATGCGTTGCGTTTTTTTCAATTGTTAGTGTTAATAATATAATATTGACTGCACGGTTGGTGCGGTGGCTAGGCAACTGGCTGCCGTGCAACGTGTCGCGGGTTCGATCCCGCACAGAACAACACTTTGTGTGATCCACAATTTGTTGTTTCGGGTCTGGGTGTCACGTGTATGTGACATCGTATGTTTGTAAACGCACCCACAACACACAAGAAAATCCTAAAGTGGGGCAAAGTTTTTTTTTTTAAAAAAAAAATCTCGAAATCAGTTGTGTAGTTTTAGAGATTAAACAGCTTGGGATTGGGAACGAATGGGTTAGCTGGACAGGCGTGATACAGTGGAAAGAAAATCGGCGTGAAACGATTAGGGCTTCTCCAAGTGTTTACCATCAGGTAATGCGTGTGTTCGTTGGCTACAATTATCAAAATTATAGTGCTTCCAATATCAATTAAAATAAAAAGTATTAAAAAATAAAAAGTAGGTACTCTTATTTTTACATACTGCTACTATGCTACTACACTACGCTACTAGCAAAACGACAAAAAAGAAGTATTATACTTGCCGTAAAGAATTAAGGGCACAATTTAGACCCTAAAAAAACCTTCTAAGGGCTGATTTTTCAATAGTCAGATAAATGTTTTCTGAGGAATAAAATTGTTGCTGTCATTGTCTTTTACAAACATTCTGACGCGACAGTATCATAATTATTTCCCAGATAACTTTAAACCTAACCATTGAAAGATCAGCCATAAGAAAAATAAAATATATACATATAATTTAACTGTATATATACATAGTTAAACATTATTCATATTTTCAGCGTATTTTGACTCTTGTTGACTAGTCACAAAATAGTAGGTATAAGAAAAACTTTAAACAAAGCGTAGTACTAAGAAATTAAGCAAAACAAAAGACATCATTTGTTTACTAACTTTTAAAAAAGCAAAACATGTTGTGATCGTATTGACTTGGCGTAACGTCAAGTCGGCCACAGGACTACGTAATTTGAATTTACCTACTCAAAATAAGCGCAAAAGTAAATAAAAGTAAGTAGGTATATTCAATAACCTACCAATTTGTAGATTTGTTCATAAAAGAAAGGTAGCATACGGTAGTTTTCAACTATTCAAATTCGATACTTTTATTCAAATGTCAAAATGACGATATTTTTCAATGAAATTTGTATGAAATCCCAAATTATGACGTCATAGTATTTTTGAAACGAATAGTCTACCTACTTTTTTCTTGAAAATTAGCTAAAATATATCGAAAATTTAGAGTTTCGACAGATAGATGAATAAAAGTATAGTTATTTTTTAAAATTTTAAGATACCTATTGAAAAGTGGTACTTATTAATTTATTTTTGACGTAGAAAACTACCCAATTTCGACCTTAGAACTTAATGTATCAAATTTCTATATTTCGTAGCTTATATATAAATTCAATGAGACTAGCCGTAACACAGACACCAGAACAACAATATATCCCGAATTGTCAAAATGCTTTACTCGAATTTCAACTTTCGCACAAAGATTAATAATCAATTTACACACGACAGTAAGTCAACCTGCTCCTTTTTGTCGAACTCCTTCATTTGATATTTATCTATATCAGTTTGACTTGAAGTCGAAAATCGAAAAAAGAAACTTAAGTTGACCTGCTACCGTTAGTGATGTTTCAAAATATATATATATATTTTGTCGATTGATTTGTCTACTAAAAATGTAGTTTAATCACATTTTGAACAGACTCTATGATTGATAATCTTTCTAACCATCTGTAGTAACAAATCTATCATCGAGCACATTTTCGAAATGGCCGTTTCCCATCAAATTATTAACGGCAACTTTCAATAACCGCCATCTATCGATAAATTTTAGAAATTATTGAAAGTAGCCGTAAACCATAGATAGCAACAAAACACAGGTAAAATAATAAAACACCAGATTAGTTTTTTATACAACTACTTCTTATTACATATTGTTATGTTTGTGTAAAATTTACAAAAATATATACAAAATAATTATTACTTCAAAAATAAATAAGCACTTACCTTAGGCAGAAATTCGCGGATACTATTTGTAAAGCACTTTACAAACTGAAGCCAAATATAATATAATTTAAACACTCTCGAAGTTAATTTCACTTGAAAAAGATTAATTATTTAATGCTACAAAAATAATAAACATGGCATCAAAATCGAAAAAGGACGAAAAGTAGAAAAAGAAACACTTCATCCCCAACTCTATGGTTAACTCCGAAAAAAGTCTCACTCCAAAAAGGTTAGCTATGCTTTGTTCCAAACCAATTCTACTTTCTAATTCTACTACTACTCAATGCCACACAACCATCAAAGATTAAATTCCGAACCTTTATATATTCCTTTCCTCATTAGTTGGTCCACGGGTGGTCTTTTCGCGAAGAATTTTCTTAATTTACTCCTCACTTGTGATTTCTGAATAGAAACTTCTGTTGAGTCGCTCGAATCCTCATTGCTACTCCCTCCAGCTGAAATTTACAACATTAGAGATAGAATTGCATTGTTAGTCAAAACAGCAAGAAGGAATTGAGATGGAAAAGCGGAGATAGGCGGCCATTTTGAGTAATATCCTTTTTCGTACTAGAGTTCTTCGAGATACATATTATTAATTATCCTCTTACGCTTACTAATGTATCTTTGTCATATATTCGCATTTGAGTAAAATGAAAAATATGTTGTTGTATGTTGTACAAAAAGTCTTGAATGTTCTAATTTTTTCAAAGAATATCACTCAAAAAATGATTGCATAAAATCAGGTTTGATTCGGAAGTTATGAGATTTCGATAATTAGTTTTTTAGAGGTACTTTATATATTATTTTATGGACAGTATTTTATGCAATCTAGTAGCCTGGATGCGAGATTGAGTATATGCTACCACTAGCTATAATCTGTGGTAGCTTGACATAAGTATTGGCGCCAAAAGTAATTCTGACACGCAAATTCAAAAAAAAATTACTGAGTTTTTCAATTGATTCAAAATTTGCACAATTATTTTTAACGCCAATTATTTTATAGTATGGACAGTACATGGTCAAAGGTACCCCAATACCACAGCAAGACAGTTTGGATCGAAAGCCATAACCAGAGAGGCAGAATGTAGTATGGATTAATAACATACGCTTTTTAGGTTACGTACAACAGAGAAATTGAGTTAAAATCAATATAATTATATGTACCTACCTACTTAATAAAAAACTCAATAATGAAGATTAAGTTATAGTGGTTAAGGTTTTTGAGACACAAAAAATATTGGAGGGTTTTTTAACTATAGCCATTCTTGTCAGAGACACAATTCAGTTCTTTAAGAATGACTAATAAATAAGAAAACTAGTTGAAGAGGTGATTCAAAGGATCCTTAAAAAGGACCACATAGATATGTGTATATAGAGATGAACAATAATTTGGAATATAATATACATAACACGGACGATACATGATAAGGAACAGGCATTTGAGACGTACACATCGGAGACTGAAACATTCCAGATAATTAAATTCTGTTTTCAATTTACCTTTTTCGCCTGTATCCTGATTTCACACCAAAAAATAAAAAAAGAAGAATCAAATATGAATTATTAATAAATTTCTATTACGATAACGACGAACAAATTCGAGAATATTAAGAAATTTTGTGGAAAAACGCACGATTTTGTTGATCAATTCTTTTTGGAGGTTAATTTAAGATATTGAAGTCTATTAGAAACTGAAAGAACAGCAGAATTCGTCATGCTTGCTACAGATAAATTGATAGGAGCTCTTTTATCAATCGTGTGTGGAAACGATAAGATTGTATCGACGTATATTCAATTCACGGGTCGATTAAATTTCGCCGTTTATACTAGGCGTGTCTAACTCGGTTTTTACACGCAACGTTAGGTATCCGGTAATAATCAACTAGATCTAAGATTTTATGTAACCTTAAGATTATCACGCACTGTATTTTTTTTTGTTTTTAAATCATTTCCTGCTTCACTTTCCTCGTCCGTTAACAGATCCGCCTTTTTATTTTTATTTAATACCTTTACCTATAAATGTTCTTGCTTAGCTGATTCCTTTTATGGAATTACGACTTACACTATTTCATCGTTTCTGGAATCAGCAACGTTTAACAAAATTACATAGTTATTAGGATCATAATTAAGTATATTATCTTCTTTACCTATAATACCAATTTTGTGAAGATCGTTTACACTGTTTTGTACCACAATTAGCAAGTTATCTTAAATCTTAATATGTTATACTGCATGATGATCGTTTTTAGTAACGCAGTACTTCAACAGAAAGATAAAGATTATTACAATCAGATAATGGAACAAATATCTAAAAACATATTGTTGTTCGATAGTATACGGACTTAGGTAGAGAAAAATAACGACTACAAGAAAGTTTCAGCTCGCATTTATAACGATTGTATTAAAAATATGCTTAGCCATTGCAGATTTACGACGTTTTCGATCGAATTTGCGCTTTAAAAATATTGTAATTACGTTTCGGATGAGGAACAAGCTTCCTCAAATCATGATGTGACCCAAACATGTCTTTGAATTTATTCAGTTTCTCCGAAGGACTTTTCTTGGCTTTAACCGCATCATCACTAGGCATTTTCCTTTGCACGTAATCCACGAATGTTTGCACAATTTTATGTTCCATATCACTTTGAATAACAATCAAATTCACTTATCACTTAGCATTTTGATTACACGAAATTTCTATACACAAACATTTTTGTATGTAAACATTGAAAGAGATTTGAATTGGGAACAATAATAAGTACTTAGACGTTAACAATGCAAGTGGCAATGTTCTTTCTTATAAAGATTGTGAAAGACTAAACTGTTGGCGCAATTAGTGATTATAGTTATCAATATAACATTATCTGATAAACGGTACACAATATGTGAAAAACTTGCTTGATTAAAACTACCAATGATAATGACAACTCATAGTCAGGGACGTTTTTTATTTTTCTGTTTAAAATATGCTTCCGCGTTTATAGTTGGTTCAAATAGAACACTAGAAAATGACATTAGGAGTAAAAAAGGTACATTAGCCTCCATTTAAACTTTTTATCACTGTTGTGAGGGAAGCCCTAACTGTCCTTCCCTCCCTCTCCCACTCTCTAGCCTCCAATCGTTGCCTAAAAGGCTAGCAAAGCACTTGCTACTCTTTGGTATAAGAGATGTCCATAGGCGCACCTATTGGCATCACGTGATCTTCTGCTCCTTCGCCGACTTATCTCGGCCTTATGACCTTATGAACTCTAACCTCCCTGCCAATAGTGCCAAGCAAGCCCTCTGATATAGAAGACACCTTTAGTCTATATCCATTGTTGATGATGTTAAGTTCACTTGATTACAGAAAACAGATGACGCATGAGATTATCTCTAAATATTAAAAGTTGATTACAAAGATTCGCTGTCATTTCGCATTGACGTGTTTATGTAAAAATGTATAAAAAAGTAAAGATTAATACGTGAGTCATTATTACTATTGAATATTTACTAATATCAATGAATCAGTTCTAATAATAAAAATATTGTATACACATGTGCTGTTACATCACTCAAAGAACGGAGGATTAAAAAGCGCTCTGCCTTTTGGGGCGTTAGGAATATGAAAATAGAGGTCATTAGGGTTTGGGGATCGGTAGAGAATTATGGGTCTCTGGCAATAACTCACACGCGTCAAAACACAACGAAATTGTTATTTCACGTCGGTTTTCTTTTTCCTATCGTACTGAAACCAATTGTACCATAATTGTCGCATTATTCAAGAGTCGTTCTATCCTTCTTCCTTTCCGACCTTTTTGGGATGGCTACTCACTTTCAACCAGATTTAGATAGAGCATCATCCGTTCAATTTCCACAGCCCACAAGTTCAAGGATAGCAGTAAGTACACTGGTTAATATTGCAAAAAACATGTTCAGCAGTTTTGGAGATTATCGAGAACAAATGAAACTATTATAGTGGACAAGTGAAGTGCAACTGATATGTGTCGTATAAAAACTGAGAATCTGATCAGCTAATGGCGAGACAATCTCGGACGACATTAACATACCAGTCAAACTACAATCTTCTTTTTTGAATCTCCTTCTCCAAAGAGCAACAAACATGTTTTGGAAAACCCAACAAGATCGGTTTAGCCAATCATATTTCAAGGCAGAGCCTCTTCTTTTGACAATTGATACCTCATCAACACGGAACACCACCATAATCTACACCTCGAACAACACGAAAAAAACTAACCGAAAAAATCTTGTCTTCTGTTTTGGACAGATGTTCTCATGTGTCATCAATGATTTAGGTAAATCACAATAGTCATTGTATTACGATTGACCGTTGATGAATTAAGGGTTTTCTTGGTAACCGTCTATTATTGACTCTAATCTATTATAAATAAATGAGTTTTCTTAGTACAATATGATTGTTCTGAACTAAATATAGAAAACTTTGAATAGCTAATGACGTAATGCGTCTAATGTCTTGGTTCAAACTTTGAATCTTTACACAGAACATTTGGCAGAAAATTTGGCTGATCTTATTATTGAATGTAAATGAGTGAGTATGGTTCAAAGTTCAAGGCGTAGGCCAGTTGAAGACCCGAAGTATGGCAAGTACCAGAATGACTTTTTCCGAGTTATATGTACATTCAAGATTATTTAGACATTACTGACATACAACATCAGGTAAAGTAAAAACATCGTTAGGAAACCTGGACTTATGATTTCTACTTACAACTTTGAAATCGTCTATCCACCTTAAGCAAGCGTGGTGATAACTGCTATCCTCTGTACACATACAGGCCGATGATATGATGTGAAACAGGGAGTCGATAGGTAAAATGCTCAAAATACATATAAAATAGTTTTTCTTAAACTCCTTGTTTGGTTAGCAACGAGGTGGTAAGTCTAAAAGGTAAAGGTTATCACAAAACGCTGTCTGGTCTCTTGGTCAAATATCATGTGATTGGCTCTTAAGAAAATTCGTACGAAGTATAGGGTTGGTGTCACATTTTTTACCTTAGCCGTCATTATACGGTCTAGAGATCTGAGAGCAATTATCTGTTCAAAAGCCAAAACCATCCACGTCTTGACTTTGGATGAGAAAAGCTGAACTGAAGCTGAGCTCAGTGGCATGCAAAAGGAGAGGCCTATGTCTAGCAGTGAACGGAACCCGGACGATGATGATGATGATATTTGTAGTCTTTTTGGAGGTTAATGGCCAAAGCCATCATTTTTGTACAAAAACATTGGTGACTCACATTTAAGTACTTATATACTTTGATTATATGTATCTACGTAACGAGCTTATCAGCTATTACTGAAATATAAGTCTAGATATATCTTAAATAATGTTGGTATTAGTCATAGTGTTGTATCTATTTCAATGATGTCCTAAATAAAGTTCAAGGAAGCAATTCGCACATATGTTCAAAGGTTCTAATACTCAGACGCAGCTAATTTTAAGAAAGAAGACGCTGTCCAAAAAATACTACTGGTACAGTCTTCTGTCATCGAATGACAGCGTCATACAATATAATATTGAAACACATTTCAGTATTTATGCTAATCTACTTAAGAAGTCGAGTATGGTCAAAAAGTTTCAGTGAGTCAAGATTTGGACCTAAGGATAACCAGAAGTTGCGAACAACAAAACACGGTCCATAGCATCCTTAAAATTTTCAATAACCGCTGTTTGTCACTAAGTTATGAGCAATGATTATAAAGGAGTTGAAATAAGAGAGTGCGTACACTACAGTAACGTAATTGTCAGCCGTTGTGTATATTACTATGGGAGTCTGCTCGCTTTTTGTGTTTTTTGCTAATTTCATTTTAAAATTCATAAAGGCCACTGTGGCGAGCCTAACGACAATTGCTAAGCCACCTGCACTGCCAAGTATGAAAGCGGAAACATCCTTTTAAAACTACTGAAAAGGAATGAAGGTATATTTTGCAGACAACGATTTATACAATATTTATTTGTAATATTGCAAAACTTTAATTTTACACACAGACTGATCCATGAACACGGTTCAGAGAAACTTGAAGTAGGTTGCGGTGTACTTTTTCGCTATGCGTAACAGCATAGCTTCTCACTGATCATGTTTCTGGACTCATGTAGAAGACGATAGTGTGCCATAATTTCCACCCTTGGCAGACAAAGTGGAGATAGAAGTTAAAGAGATTCAAGTATGGCCAGTCAAGCCACTAAATCAAAGGCCTCTGCGGTTCCTACAGCACCATCGTGAATGCAAAAGGTTGAGAATGTCCAAAACCACCTACCGATTAACTTGGCTGACACTTTTCTTATACTAAACATCACAAAACTCCAAGTTCCACTGAACGTTATAACACTATCATAAGTCATGATTTTAACACAGTGAATAAAACACGGCAAATAAAATAAAAATGTTCGGAAAGAAAAGCGAAAATCTTGAAACATGAGTGACACGGCAACACGTCTTCCATCAAATGCTAGAAGAAAAATTTTGGTAACAATCGTCGCGATTTGGAGTTCAAAATTCTATTGTCTGTTTTTAATAAACATGGCTAGTATTGTTTGTTTTACAAAGGATGTTGGTGTAAACCAGAAAATATTTGGAGAATTATAAACAACAATCAGTATTCTACTGAAATCTTGATCAGTATCACCGTCGGTGTGTTTCCACCCAGCCTTCCATCCAGCCAGCAAGATACATAAGCTCTATGTAGATTATACTTCGATCCACCACCAGTTAAACATCCTAGCTTATCATAGTACTTAATATTTGATTGAAGAGTATCATCATCACTGGGCTATGAAGAGCTTTAAGCCTTTGACTGCCTACAGAAAACTGTTGAAGGCAAATCCTCCGCTAACGGAGGTCACCGGTGACCCCCATGGCGCTTAACGTGTTAAAGTGTGGGAGAGCCATGCTTTGGCTCGATCAGAGTGATAGCACTGTCTGACGCAATACCAACGTGAAACAACCACAGTGCATTGTATTTCGCCATGTGAGTGAGGTTACCGGACGCCTAATCCTTATCCTGCCCCTATCCCTCCACATTCCTTGAATCCAACTCTTCTGGTGTTGCTAGCGTCCATGGGTGGCACCGATTGCTTACCATGAGGTAGTCCGCACCATCGATTGCGTTGGCGTATCACATAAAAAAGTTATGAGGCGAACGCTCCTTGTAAAACACATGCTGCGTTTTCTAAAGATTACCCTATACCGTTCCCAAAACTATTAAACAGATTGAGAAGAAAGAAAAAGTCTAAGCCTACTGAATCACTTTTTTCGTGTAACGTATCATCCTGTATATTAAAACAAATATTTATTTTTCAATGTGCTGTGACATCATCTGTTGTAGGCTAGTTATCTAGGCGATGTCATGTAGCCTTTACATTAGTTCATCATAAAAATATGTGCACTTGTGGTTAAACTATTTATTTAATAAATAATATGTTAGACTTTGTATCATTTGCGTCTATAGTCTATTTATAAACATGAAGAAATATAATACTGTCTAATAAATACGGTGTTACATTCGCTGGTTTACAATCAAAGTTAATAATACCTAATGTACATTTAAGTCAACTTCCATTTTTGAACAGATGTTACAACAAGCCTATTGCTCAAAAAAAAGAAACAAAAATTAAAACTGAACTGCTTGTCAGTCACGCTTACGAGTAATCGATATTCGGAGCAGTTACGATTAAATTTATTTTCTTTTACTTTCATGCATAGACAAAATATTATTATTACACCAACCTGAATCGACCTTCAGAATTCTATTAAAGTCTAAGACTAAACAAATTATAAAATAACTCATGCTTACACGAATCCATTCGATTATAGCCGTCACACCCACATAATATAGTCATTTTATGCTTCTACCACTATTATTATCACAAACTAGTCGTTGCCAACTAATTACGCTTGAAAAAAACAACAACCACAGGATAAACAATAAACTAAGGTCCATAGAACCACAGATAAAAAAGTACAGCTTTAACGTCAATTAAATAAAACGCGCGGTTTTTTTGCACTTAAGTTTTTAACATAACCTCACTTTTATTATGTTTTTTTATTATAATCACAGTTTTATAAGTTTATTTCATATTTTATCTATTCATTTTAGTTCAGTGCGAACTGAACACGATCTGTGTTCGTAACACACTGAACAAGGAAAACCAAAGTGTGGTACTAACCGCTATGTGTTTACCGGGAAGCGATTCGTCATAGACCAAGTAGTGTGAAAACAAAATATGTAGTTTGCTATAAACTTGTGGTTTATATTATATTTGTACATGTTCATCTCTGCTAGGAACTTTGAGAGCTACTCTTTTGTGACGTAGAGACGTATAGTTTAGATGCATCATCATTCTAGAAATCCGGGTTTTGATATTGACTTACTAACGACTTTTCTAATGACGCGTGAATGTAATAGAAGTAGTGCTTCGTGCAAATCATATTGTATCATTTAGATTTTAAGATAAATTTTTAGCCTAATGAATTTGCACCTCAGCAAATCAAGAGCGTTGCCAACCATAAAGAAAAAAGTAAGTATGTGATTAAGCAATCTTTAACTTTTTCGAATTATTTATTATTTGTGAAATTTGCGCATCTAGCAAATGCATAAAAAATGAGAGAAGTTTAGATTATATTTTCATTATCATCTATAAAAATGTTTTGACTTTAGAGAAAAGTCAACTTTTGTTACTTATTTAAAACTTTTTACAGATTACTATGTAATTTAATATTTTCTGACAATACGCTAAAAACACTTTTATTTTGTAGAAGAGTGTCCTTTTTGAAAGTTTCAATCAATATTCAATATTTTTATGAGTAAAGTTGTTTAGATGGCGCTGTTGACGTTTTTGGATGCTTCACACTGACTTTAAGCCTTTAATTGTCGACAAAACATGTTTGAAGCTAATCCTGCGCTAACATTAAAACAATGGTGGGAAAACAAAAGCTCAAATCTGTTTTATGGACGAAAAATAGGCTGATCTAATGCAGACAAGTAATAAATTTAGACATTATCCAAGCCACAATAAAACTCTGCTATATACAATAGCCGGATAAACACCTGTTTGAATGCTCAAACAATTTTACACCTTCCATAATTTGTTTAAAGTTCGAAATAGTGTGAACTATCACCGTGATTATCTTGATAATGAAACTGAAGCTTGAATGTGTGTGTGTCAACTTTATTTACAAAATGGTGGCTTTATGGAATATAAGTTATTTTGTGTATTACCTTTGTGTTTGTTCCTGATGGCGTGTCGGGCGGTGGGTGGGGTCCTGCCTAGGCTGTCGGCGTCTGCGTTGCTGTGAGTGAAGGTTGGAGAGTCACCTCCTGGTAGACTGCATTGGTACTGTGGATATTGGATAGAATATTGTTCACCAGAGTCTGATAATGTCATTAAATCTTCATGAAAAAATATTTTTTTCTTATTTATCCTTATTAGATATAATTATTATTGTTTTAGTACGTATGAACCTTATGAAACATTATTTTTAAGAAGAAATTTTATAGTTAATTTGGCAAAAATTTGGATTTAGATTTGTAATGAGAAATCCAACCACAAATACGTACACTATTTTCAATGTGTCTAAGATTAGGTATGTTTTTTAGTTTCTTATATTTTTTGGGGTCATACCGGTCTCGACAAAATATAAATATTTTACATTTACATATTTGGAGTAATATCTTCATAGCAACTCACCAGGGCAAAAATAACGCCTCGAATGTGTGCGAACCACTTCCTGGCTCCATCCTCAGTCTCATCCTGGATCAGGTACTGGTCGTAGCCTACGATGAGCAGGATAGATCGTGCGTACCTGGAAATAGAAGTACAAACACGTTAACAACCTTAACTTCAGGTTTGAGAATTCAATTTGGTTTGCCACATTGTTAAGATTACGTGGTGGATCTTGGTAAAGCGTTGCTGTAGCTTAATCTTTTAGAGGTATCGCCGTCCTTATAATTTTTTTAATGATGTTTGACATTTAAATTATCAGCAGCTGGCTCATCATAAGCATCATCATTGACTAATAAATTTTATACTGTTGTGCGAAGGCCTCTTTTCATACGAAAAAGGATTGAGTAGGTATCAAATTAAACCCCAAGAGACCGCGGCCGCGTATTGTTCTTCTATCGTGTTTCGAATAACCACGATTGAAAAGTTAAAGATTATTTTCTAATTTAAGCAAAGGTTGATAAGGTACCTTTTCGTGTGTTTTTGAATACACTGTGTAGCATGAGCGTTGAGTAACGCCAGTACGAGCTCTGCTTGTGGTGTGGATGGACTAGGAGGCGTGCCAGGTGGTCGAGATACCTTCTGAAAGAAAATATTAAACGATAAATACATTTTTCTTTTAAATAAGGGAGATCTGGATCATATTTGGGGCTTAGAAAATCTAATAAAAGACTTAAAAAAAGTTACTATAAAGGTTAATTGAAGCCACTTTATGTAACGTCCATTATTAAGAAAATAATTGATATTTAAAACTCGAGAAAATTTAAACACTCAGACACTAATAAACATAGCTTGGTGGCTCTTTAATTCAGAATATCAAGGGTCATAAAATAATTTTCCAATGACAAAACTTACTGAAGAGTAATACGTCCTCTGGTCTTTGTAAAAGACTAGAGCAGTAGGTGTGAGAACCATGTAGCAGTCTATCCAGTTCTTTTTGGTCTTCTTCGTACCTTCCAGGAACTTGGTTCGTTTGACTGGACCCTCTAGAATCACCTGTAAAGAATGAACAAATTTTTATTACAGATTTCGCAGACCATCCCATGTATTAACACTTTGTTTCTGTATAAGCATAGATTAAACTATATTCCCAAATAAATAGGTCTTTGATCAGTAATCAATCAAGAAGCGTAGTAGCTACTCCTAAGGGCAGCTACTATTTTCTAGAATGTACTGAGAATTTCTAAAGTCCTAAAGTCCTTATATCAGTTTGACTCCGGAATTATCGAAAGCCAAATCCATCCACTTTATCTTCTTCTCTAAACCCTAAATCCCCAAAACCCCTTATCCTCTAAAGGCTGGCAAAGCACTTGTAACTCTTCTGGTAGTGCGTGAATCCATGGGTGACGCTGAATGCTTACCATCAGTTAATCCGTGTCTTTATGTTTCGCTGAATCACATAAAAAATAAGACCCTCAATTATTAACATTTTGGGACAACTGTGAAATATCATGACAATTTTGCTGTGTATTAAAAGATTTTTATATGATTAACCGACCGATTTGGAAGTCATTTGAAGGTGTCTTGTCGCTGATGTGATGATCATGGTAAATCTAAACCTCTTACCTCTTGTTGAAGTGTATGCCTGGGAGCAGGAATGGGAGACTGTAACCGATTCTTCGGAGCGACCATGGACCTAGATTTTCTGTTCCTGGCATGTGGTTCCCTCTCCCGGATTTCCACGTCCAGGCTGTCCCCAGACGATGAAGCTGGGAGAAGCAGGTGGCTCGGTCTTCTGACGTTGGTCAGAAGATTTTCCGTAGACCCTCCTGGAAATTGAGAGGACAATTTGAGATGAGTTCTGGGGTTGTATAAATGATATTTGTACATGTTGTTATATGGAAGTAATGTGCGTGTATGAACACCAAACTCATGTTCACAAAAGAATAGGATGTGGATACACACACACACAAAATCGGATGTAGACATTTTGATCGAGGATGAGGTTATGTTCTTACTACCCCTAAGAGTTAAGTTAACTTTAAGAGCCTTTAGGCTAACGTTTCCGATAAAATATTGCAGACAGTTCATACACATTGCGTTCTTTATTCAAATTTATTTGGTAGATGGTAGCAAAGTTTAGCATTGTGAAATGGACTGTAACTCTAGCCAATAGCTTTTGCAGGTCATCATCACTTACCCAATCTTTTATTAATCCTGACGAAAGGTGGACTGTCAGAGCTGGATTTATTGTACATGATGTCCAGATCTGGCCGACTCCGCTCCGAAGTCGGACTCCAGTTGTGGAGAGGTTCATATCCTCGTCCTTTAAGGGACCCTTGTTCTGGAATTTCATCCTCCTGGAATGATAAAAAATTCTTGTCAATATGGATTTTTAACTTTTTCTTGAGGAGGGAATACTCTTACACTTTTTCTGCCCTAAGTGAGGCTTGAAGAAAGGGAGTTTCAGAGTCTTACTGACCTAACCAATCTCTTCATGTACAGAAGGTACTCTTTCAATTCCTGCTCCGAGCTAGGGCTGGGGTAAATTCAGCTGGTCGATATGATACCTACTAGAATTGAAGACTAAATTCGTATGACCTTGACTCAACAAACCTCAAAACCAACTTAATGTTGCTTAATAACCGTATACTATTCTATCCCCATTTTTCCTATATTCAGGATAAATTAAAACGATTTGTCAACATGATTAATTTTAAATGTTACCTAACTGAACATAATTTTACTTGAATTGACAACTATTTGTAAGCGAATGAGGAAAAATTGCCAATGTAGAGGCTCATTCGCGTTTGCTTTAGTGTTTTATCTGTCGGACCATCACTATCGGTATAATTAGAACAATGAAACGATCCAATTTTGTTTATTAATGTTATATAATAAACTATTAATAATTTATTCAGGTGTTTTTCTTTTTTCGACAGACTGAGGAAAATCATGAAATGCCTTTTTGACCTGGGTGAGGCGAGAGGAAGTGTTACTCTTACTGGCTAAAAACCTCTCCTTGTCTTATCCTACAAAGCCGGGGTACATAATTATGCTTTTTTCCGCAACCCTGACTGGAATCGGTCCTAGTGGGACCCATTTGTAGTGGTCTAAAGGCTCTGCGAAGTTTCTTTACCCTTACACGATCCATAAGCCTTGCTACTGCTGATATTATAGCAAGTATGCAAAAAAAAACCACGATTGACCGGAGTTCAGTAAAGATCCTGTGTGATATTGTGGGCTTCATTATGTATTTTCTCACATTTACTTTCTTATCTATAATTTTATTTGCCACAAGCTTTTCATCATCCTATCTTTCATCACTCCTCTAGTAACACGGAGCAATTTCTTTTGGCTTTCAATAATATTGACGTCTACTTAAATATTGGTAAACAAGCCAAGAAAAACATTCTAATTTTAGAAATCGGTCTTGTAGGATACACAAAAAGTTTATCTAAACTCTTTTCTTAAATTTAACTCTTGTTATAGGATCCTGCGAAGTCCTGCTTGTAGGTTTTTAAACTAATTTAACCATTTAAAATTACTTCAACGTTGCTAATTTCATAATATCTTACATGTTAACTTTGAAAGCCAACAAATTCTTTTAGTAGACGTCTTAAACAGACTGTCACTTAACATACATATCGATACACTACTTATTATAATATTGAATGTTATATCTTAAATAAAGAACTAATTCTCTAGTTTGTTTTCAGCTAAAAGTAAATGCGAATGAACAGAATCAGTGTGCAGGAAGCAGCTGATATCCGTAACTAATCATAACTTCCGAATCATTGACTTCTCAAACCGGTTTGAACGTGCATCTCATTTTGAGGTTAGAAAAATGGCGGTATGTATTTGACGTTTACACAAAGATAGTATTAAAATTCAAAATTGAGACTTATAAAATGTATAAAAATCATATGTCGCGGATGACCTTTGGATAGGATTAGGCCTTTTTTCATTAAATCTTTTCGATTTTCGTTTTGTAGTTTTGACCACCGGGTCTCAATATTTATATAGGCATATTAAAAACGGCATATGGCATTATATATATAGATAAATATATGAAATTAAACAAATGAAATAAATACTGATTAGAATACAATTGTAATGTTGTGAGCATGTTTTTGTGGTTGAATAAAGGCTATTTTTATTTTTATTTTATTTTATTTTTAATAAAAACGGTCGCCAATTGCACTTATGTCAGCTGAAATAGTTCATTGCAAATAAAATGGGAGACAATATCACTGGTCACTATCACTGGCAGACTTTATTAGATACAGCAATTATTGGTGTAAACGGAATAATGTGCCGTGGCTCCAACTCGAAGCTGGTGAAAGAGCGTAGTGGCTTTTAGTCAGTAAGAGTTTAAAACGCTCTCGCCCCACCTTAGGGGGTGGGAAAAGTAATTAGATCACTTTCCCTTTACAGATAGAGGCTTTTTAGAAAACAGCTGATTGTGTTCAAAATGGGGATGGAATGGAATCATCAAGCTACTCTCGCCGTGCTTAGGGCGAGAAAGAGACTTTTTCTGACTAAAAACACTCCGTTCCTTCTTCAGCTCCGGGACGTAGTCACGATACATTATTGTGCCTGCATCCGACAATCGTGTTTACTACTAGCTTCTGTCAGGGGGAAATGGTGGTCAAGTCTATAATCTATATCGATGCCAAATTTCATTCACATTCGTTCAGTAGTTTTTACGTAAAAGAGTTACAAACATTCGCGCTTATATATTATAGTTCATGATGACACATGGTTAAACAGTCATGGAGTTCGATACGGTTTACGACCTCCTTATTAGGTCGTGCTTTAAAGACTTACAACCAAACTATTTAGAAGGTGCATTGTTCATACACAAACGCATATTACGATACACTAAAACTTTCTTGACGCTAATGGGTTCTCAACTTTATTTCAAAACCTATGAGGTTGGAATTTCAGAACAGACTTTCGTTGGATCAGTATGGATTGACTTGCGAGTGTGAGTATTTTATTTACATATTGTTAGGACTATTTTGGCATTGGTTAGAGAATTGTTAGTCCTAATGTTTGTTTGCTAAGCTATTATGAATCTTTGGTGTATAGAGATAGGGTCCAGTCCGGTAGATACTGTTTAAAAAAGTTGAGAATTTAAATTTTTACGATTGAATAATGTTTACAAAACCGTATTTGGAACGTCCTAAACATCGAAAATCACTTTCAGAACCACCCATCACTTAAATAACCGCGGTTTTAACGCTTAACCTCGTGAATTACAATCGGCTGCCACTCCTAAAACTATAAATACGAACAAATATATAATATAAATGTATTTTTACCTCTCTGAACCACGTCTTTCCTCTTTTCAACTTAAACATAATAAAACTTATAACGAACACAGATTTTAAACAATAAATTAACACGAAAACACTGTAACTACATATTTGCTACATATATAATATTAAAATAAACTTATATACGTGTTAAATATGGTAATATTTAAAGGGAAAAACGACAATAAATTCGTCTTGTTCGCATAGCTAGTGTCACATTGACTGCAGTTGTGTCATAGTGGCGATATTATTTTAGTGATGTGCGTACGTCGATGTCGATAGTGTTTGTCGATGTTTTTCCGTGTCCATTACTGTTGAAATAGAGTACTTTTGAAGATGTTGTGATTTTATATTTATTTAGTTAGATATTGGATACACATACGCTATTGTGAACTTAGAATACGGAGTATTAAATAATGAGTTTTTAATAATAGGACTTTTAAATCGTTTTTCTGGTGTACGATATGCTTAGTACACTTGCGTGTTAAAAAAACTAAATATATTTTGATGTAACTCATACTTTGTCATGTATAACAAAAATAAAGACAATCCCAGTAAGATATTAGTGTAATTGTGTTTGGATTTGCCTCGCAATTTCATCATCATCATCATTATCATCAGCCAATAAGTGCCCACTGCTGAGCATAGGCCTCTTCTCATACGGAGAGGGTAAGAGCATTAATCAAAACCCTTGCTCTATGCGGATTTGCGATTTCAAACTTATTATTAGAAATTATAAGTCCAGGTTTCCTCACGATGTTTTCCTTCACCGTATATTAGTGGCGTCTAAATAATCAACTTCTCCTAATTATACCTACATAAATAACGTTATACTCTACCAATTTATAATAAATTTAGATTTAATAACTATCTGAATATTTATCGAATTGAAACCCACATTACACTGTGATTTATTCGAAGAATTAATGAAATCAACGTAGTGGAATGACTAATTTCTTTGAAAGGATTTCTTTATCTGTTACATTATTATGTGTTTAACTAGTGATTTCATATTATATATTTTATAAACAGTGATAAATAAATAACATTATTATATTTATTTGATGTAGGCCTACGTTACGTGCGAAGTACAGAAACGAATAAGGAAAAATAAAAATTTAAATACGTGTACTATACTGACAAGCTGAACTTAGAACGCTTGTGAGGATAGAACACGTAACAATTATTGTTTATTATGATTAATATAATGAGTAGAAACTTAATGAGTTAGTAGCTAAAAACAGTGGAAGTTGAGGACGAGTCGAAGTTCAAATTCCGTATAGATACAAAAAAATTACGATTATTTTTATGGTATAAGTCAAACGAGCAGACGGATTACCTGATAGTAAGCAATCGGCTCCGCCCATGGGTGTCCATGGAGCAACGGAGTTACGAGTGCGTTGCCGGCCTTTTGGGGATAGGGGTTGCGGATATAAGGAGCGGGAAGAGGGATAGGGGAAGGGGAGGGACTTTACTTTTCGTACACACATATAGTAACAAAACTATATCAAACAAGCCCAAATTACGATATGGTAATTACTTTAAAAATAAACTTGCTTAATATGAAATAAATGACTTTTAACAAAGGATTATATGTTGTAGAACACATTAATTTTTAGTCATAATTTTCATCTTACAAAAACGATCAGCAAACCAAAACACTAATAAAAAAACAAAAACGAAATGAAGGTGAAAAAATGTAGGTAGTAGTGCTACCTACATTTTAAAAGAAAAACACAGCACCAAAATTTGTCAATCAAATTGCAGTAATGGTAGGCTAAAAAAAGGCTTAAAATCGCCAACCAATTAAAAAACTTAAGTTCCGGAGAACGGAACAGAGTGTTTCCCATCACTAGGGCTTGTTATCGTCGGTCGGTCGTCAATTCGATGTTAGGAAGTGTATTGTTATCTCACTTTATTACATTACACTGATTATAAAATGTGTCTGTTATACTACACAGCTACAAATGTATTAAAACCACAATCTTGTAATATGCAGTCGGTTTCTGATACTCTAGAAGGCTATCCAACCATGATAC